GATATAGTACCAGATCAAACCTCTCATGGAAACTGCACAACCAGGCATGGTTAAAAAAGTGGCTCGACTCACAGTGGCCCACTAAAAAGAGGACATAACTGACAAGACCATACCTCATTCGACCTAAATTCAAGAGGTCGAATGTACCACGCTCTACTCAACTGACGGAGGGAGCTGGAAAAGATCATGTTCTACCAGAAAGAAGTTTCGACCTGATAATGTGGACTCGACCTCTTGAGGCGACAAAAGGGCATCTATTTGGAAAACTGCTGTTGTAGATATTTTTACCAGAGTAGAATCGAAAGATTCGTTCCTCGGGTCGTATCGCAAGGAAGGTTAGCCGGATTCAATTGTACGATTATTCGATCACGAGAAAGAAAAGAAAAATTCCTAAACACTCTTATTCAATAATTTTGGGGTTTTAATTATCAGCTAAAGATTTAAAACTAAAGCAAACAAATTAAATAGCAAGTGAATAAACTCGAATGATTAAAGTGCTAGGGAATCGGGGATAATTGCTTTCGGTTCTAACACAACTACCGGCAATCAATTGCTCGGTTAAAGGACTTGAATCGTTTCTCGTCCAGAGGCTCACTCTCAATAACTCTTCATAACAAGAGAGTGAACATACACGATCAACTATCAATTCCAACAACTCATAGACAATACTATTACGAACAAGTCTACTCTAAACAAGCCTATATCGACCAACGTCTCCCCTCTCGGTTCTACATGTTGATTAATTAAGCTAGAAAGGTGATCAATCTACTAACCCTATAATAGGAACAACTTGAATAGATACGAACAATTAAGAACAAGCAATTATAATCGAACCTAATCAATCATCCCCTATCCCTAGCGTATGGATTTAGCTACTCATATGGAATTCAACATCAAAACTCATAAAAACCCAAGCCATCATCATCAATCACACAATTGAGAAAAGAATAACTTACGATTAATAAAAGAATCCCAATGTCAAATCCACTGAACAATCCAAATCCAAGCCAGAAAACAGAGTTTTAATCTCCAAAACCAATCCAAAATAGTAAAAGTATGAAAAGGAATGAGTTTCTAGAGAGAAAACGTGTAAAAACGAAGTCTGGAATGTGAATCCTCATGTCTAGGTCGAAATTCTGATGTTAAAATCCCGACCTCAAAATTCGCGCCGGTTATCTCGCGAGTCGCGACTTAAGTCGCGAGTCGCGACATACACTTTTTCCGTGTCGCGAGTCGCGACATCTCGCGAGTCGCGCGTCTTCGAAAAATATTTAACTTCTGGGGAAACTCGCGAGTCACGACTTGTCTCGCGAGTCGCGACATGGACTCGCGAGTCGCGACTCGTCTCGCAGAACTCGTCTTTTCGGCTCTGTTGGACTCGCGAGT